ACGAGCTCCTCCCCGGAGATACGGAGAATCCTGGATTTGCGCACTTTCCGCCATGTCCTCAAAACATTTTTATTCCAGCAGGCTGGTCTGGCCTAACCTCCCTTTAATTGCTTTTAAATTTGTTTTATAAATTGGGGTGTTTTAAATTTGTTTTGGGCCAAAGTATTTAATGTATTTTTAAATGGTTTTTTAACGTTTGTACTATGTGTATTTTATGCTGTTCACCGCCCTGAGTCCTTCGGGAGTAGGGCGGTATATAAATTTAATTAATAAATAAAAATAAAAAATTTAAAAACTTCGAAGTAAGAAATATGCTTTGAGCTGGATAGATTGAAGTTTTAAATATGGTTGAATATTTGTTGAGTTTATATTTTTTCTCTTATTGTTTTTAATTACTATGAAGAATTCACAGCCACATACATGAGATGGGCAGCTATATAATAAATAAATTAAGTACAATAGGTGGGAAGAAAGTGTCCCAGAAACTCTCAGTGGAAATTCCAAGCATAAAAACAGCAAAGCAAAAATAGATGAACATAATTTTAGAGACATTTTAGGGAGATGATAGTGCTCAAGGCAGGAAAAAATGTATGTAAGGTACTCAAACTTTTGGTTACTTGGAGAAAAGACAACTACTCATTACACTTCCTGAAATTTTCTAGATATGTCCAACAAATAGGGAGCTGAGAAACTGCATGATTAGGGTGACACAATACTACACTATCATACTGCAGTATTTTAGGGTGATAAATTTAAAGTTTTAGTCCTCAGACATTCTGAACTAAATATATAAAATGGGCAGAAATTTTAATAGCCCCAAGAATATTTCCATCATGAATGTTCTTCTTCCTTCATTCTTCTACCAATCCCCTCTAAAGTACAGAGAGGATTTCAGTCCTCTTTCAGCTTACTGATTTTGATGCAGTCTAGCGTTCTGTATTTTATAAATAGAAAGTAGCTTTTCAAAATAATCCATTAAATAATCAAATTAAGTCAAGCATGTTTAAATGATATATTCACAGGTACAAATTCACACAATATATTCGGTATTTTGTAGCATTTTAACCAGTTTGTGTGGAAGTAAATACATTTGAGAAGAGATATTAGAGCAAAGATAAATTATAATTGTAAAGCCAAATTAGGAAGGGATTTGCTGCCACCTGCTGCCCTTAATTTTCACACTGCTTTTACTACAATAATATGCCCACAATTTTGCTCAAAGCAAAGTATATTTAATGCCCATCCACTGTTCTTTTTAAATACATTTTAAAATGATTTAAAATGATTTAAAATACATTTTAAAATGATTTAAAATGCACAGTAGAATATTACTATTGTATATTGGTTGTCGGAGACTTCAACCTGCCTTCAGTCGGGGAGACATCTGAGTTAGTGCGGGAGTTATTTATTTATTTATTTATTTTATTAGATTTCTATACCGCCCTACTCCCGAAGGACTCAGGGCGGTGCACAGCCAAACAATAAAAACACATACAATACAAAATTTAAAAATAGAATAAAATCAAATTAAATAATTTTGGCCCCGACAAATTTAAAACCCCAAACTTTTAAAACCAATTTAAAATTGAATATATAAAATACAAAAGATATTTAAAATTTTAAAAAATCTTTTATAAAAGAGGGGGAAAATTAGGCCAGGCCGGCCTGGTGAAATAGTAAAGTCTTTAAGGCGCGGCGGAAGGTGTGCAGATCCGGGATCCTCCGTATCTCTGGGGGGAGCTCGTTCCAGATAGTAGGTGCCCCCACAGAGAAGGCTCTCCCCCTGGGGGCCGCCAGTCGGCATTGTTTGGCTGACGGCACCCGGAGGAGCCCCTCTCTATGGGAGCGTACCGGCCGGTGGGAGGCTATTGGTGGTAGTAGGCGGTCCTCCATGACGGCCATGGACCTGACTCAGATTATACAGGCCCCAACTCATATAGGAGGACACACACTCGACCTGATTTTTCTCTCTGGGCAGTGGATAAATGATTGGGGGGAGGGGGCCTTATCCATCGACCCCCTGTCATGGACCGATCATTCCCTCCTTAGGCTGGACTTTCCTACTGCTAGACCCTGCCGCTGGGTTGTGGAGCCTATGAGATGGTTCCGCCCCAGGCGCCTGATGGATCTCGAAAGGTTCTTGATGGAGCTTGGGCCATTTCCTGCCTCCTTAACCCACAAATTCTCCGAATTCTCCTTAACCCACGAATTCTCCATGAATTCTGCGACCTGAGAACAGGCTGCAGTAGGGGCCCTGGATCGAATCGCGCCTATGCAGCCTGATCTGACGCAGATCCTGGGCGGCTCCATGGTTTACTGCGGAACTCAGGGAAATGAAGCGTCGGAAAAGATGCCTGGAGGGTGGTTGGAGATCCTCCCGATCGGAATCTGACCGGACACAGCTAAGAACCCATATTAGGTCTTATCTTGTGGCAACGGAAGCAGCAAAACGGCAGTACTTCGCCGCTCTCATTGCACCTGCAGAAAACCACCCAGCCGCCCTGTTTAGGGTAACCTGCTCCCTCCTCAATCTTGGAGTGAGGGAGGACCCCTTGCAGGGCCGAGCTGAGGATTTTGCACAGTTTCTGCAAGATAAAATCGCTCAGATCCGGACCGGGCTGGACTCTGACTGGGCAGAATCCACTGAGGAGACTGGGGCTTGTCTTGGCGGGGACATCTGGGTTGAATTTGAGCCTGTTTCGTTGGATGAAGTGGACAGGATTATGGGTTGGCTGGGGACCTCCACGTGTTTATTGGACCCGTGTCCCTCCTGGCTTGTTTCGGCAGCCAGGGAGGTGACCGGAGACTGGATCCAGGCTGTTGTCAACGCTTCGTTGAGGGAGGGGGTCTTCCCCGCTGCACTCAAAGAGGTGGTGGTTTGCCCCCTCCTCAAGAAGCCCAACCTGGACCCTGACTCCCTTAATAACTACCGTCCAGTCTCCAACCTCCGCTTTTTAGCGAAGGTTGTCGAGTCTGGGGTGGCACAGCAATTCCCTCAATTCCTGGAGGAAACTGACTATCTGGATCCTTACCAATCTGGTTTCAGGCGCAGTCACAGCATGGAAACAGCATTGGTTGCCCTAGTGAATGATCTCTGGCGGGCCCATGATGGGGGTTGTTCCTCCATCCTGGTCCTTCTTGACCTCTCAGCGGCTTTCGATACCATCGACCATAGTATCCTACTGCAGCGACTCGGGAGGTTGGGGATAGGACACACTGTTCTGCAGTGGTTCTCCTCTCCTCCTATCTCTCGGGCCGCTTGCAGTTTGTATCGGTGGGGGGGTCAGAGATCCTCCCAGAGGCCCCTCACTTGTGGGGTGCCTCAGGGATCGGTTCTCTCCCCCCTGCTCTTTAATATCTATATGAAACCGCTGGGTGAGATCATTCGTGGTTTTGGGGTGAGGTATCACCAATATGCGGATGAGACCCAGCTTTATATCTCCACCCCGGATGACCCTAGGGATGCCCTTTCCGTGATGTCCCGTTGCCTGGTGCGGGCTTGAATGGGTAGGAACAGACTCAGACTCAACCCATCCAAGACTGAGTGGCTGTGGATGTCGGCATCTCGGGATCTAGAGGTACCATCTTTAGTGATAGGAGGGGAGACCCTTACCGCCTCCGCTAGGGTTTGCAATCTGGGTGTCCTCCTGGATTCTCGGCTGTCCATGGATGACCATCTGACGGCCGTAACCAGGGGGGCCTTCGCACAAGTATGTCTTATGCACCAGTTGCGCCCTTTCCTAGACCGAGATGCCCTCGCCACGGTCACCCATGCCCTTGTTACTTCTCGGTTGGATTACTGCAACGCCCTCTACATGGGGCTGCCCTTGGGATGCATCTGGAGGCTCCAGCTGGTCCAGAATGCGGCCGCGCGGGTAGTTATGGGAGTTCCTCGCTACTCCCGTGCAACACCTCTCCTGCGCGAGCTGCACTGGCTGCCGGTTGCTCTCTGGGTCCGTTTCAAGGTGCTGGTGCTTACCTATAAAGCCCTACATGGCTTAGGCCTGGGGTACTTACAGGACCATCTTCTGTCTTCCTCCCACCGTCCCGTGCGCTCCCACAGAGCAGGCCTCCTCAGGGTGCCATCGGCCAAACAATATAGACTGGCGGTCCCCAGGGGGAGAGCATTCTCTGTCAGAGTGCCGACCTTCTGGAATGATTTGCCCACCGAGCTCAGGATAGCCCCGGACCTCCTCTCCTTTCGCCACGAACTGAAGACGTGGCTCTTCCATCAAATAACTTGATCTGCTAGGGGTTGCACAAACTGTAATAATTTTAAATATGGTTTTTAAGGGGTTTTTAACTTATCTTGTTATTTTGTGATTTGTATTATTGATTGTTGTTGTAAGCCGCCCTGAGTCCTTCGGGAGAATGGCGGTATATAAATCGCAATAATAAATAAATAAATAAATAAATAAATAAATAAATAAATAAATAAAGCAACAGCTTTAATAGCAATAGCACTTAGACTTATATACTGTTCCATAGTGCTTTACAGTCCTCTCTTAAGCAGTTTTCAGAGTCGGCATATTACCCCCAACAATCTGGGTCCTCATTTTATTGACCTTGGAAGGATGGTAGGCTGAATCAACCTTCAGCTGGTGAAATTCAAACTGCCGAATTGCTGGCAGTTGGCACTCAGCAGAATTAGCTTGCAATATTGCATTCTAACCACCGTGCCACCAAGGCTAATGTACGAGTTCATGTCAGTCACCAAGCTTGAATATCTAGAAAAATCTGTGATGTTATATACTATTAAATTTTATGTATTATATTTCTAACATGCCCCATTCTAGGCAGCTTCACAAAAACAATAATAAATAATATCCCTCTATCCATCCTATAGAATAGCAACTGTTAATAATCAATTATTGACATACCACTTCAAGCCCTAGGCAAAAACCCTTAAACTCTTTTTGTAAGGCAAAAATAAGAGTCTTTGTATTGCTATGCTTTGTATCAAAAGAATTTGGGTAATGAATAGACACCAAACATGCTGGAACTTTTTCTCAAGACATATTTATTTTTCTAACTCATGAATATCACTCTTTAAGAGCATTCTCAAACAATCATAAAACATAATTCTTTCAAATTTACATCCTCCTAAGGAACCTAATCCTATAAGACAGGAAATTATAGGAAAAATAAATTTCTCTCCAAGTAATCACTTATCAATATGTTTCAATGGAGACAGAGTTCCTTTTATAATGGGTCTTCTTTTCAACATAATGTCACTAATAAGAGTATCCCTTATACAAACATGGTGCTTATTTGCATATAAAACCATGTAGTTCACATTGTTTTGAATATTTCAAATGAAGTATAGTTCTTCCATATATTGAAAAAAAAGATGCACATCATAAATAAAATGAAATGGTTTTCCTTCTGTCTTAAGTTCAGTTTTCTTCTGCACAGCCAGATTCTGAAATTACCAACATATAATGACTTAATCTCAGTGAATTAATTTTGTTGTCAAACTGTAAAAATTATATTTTATAACGATCGTGTTTTATAAATTTTATAAATTAATAAGTTATCAAGACCCCATGCCTTTAAATCACTGCATTGAAGGTCTAATTATATTTTTATTTTGAAGGAAAGGAAAGGAACTAGATGAGACAATCAAACAATGAATAGTATAGTTAATACTCTATTATACTGTACCCAATCAGGGAAAGGGTGCAAGGTTAAAACAGTCTGGAAACGAGCATGCAAGTTACATGGAAGGCTATTCCTACTTCTGCCCTCTTACTGATCCCTATATCTGCATTTATAAACAAATGCCTTTGTCATTTCTTACTATCTTTCCAGTACTAGACAGATAAAATTATGAAGGAAATCACTCCTCTTCCTCCTAAATATATCATGGTGGCAAATAAGCCTAAATCAACGCTTTCCTTCCATCCACTGAAAAGGAGCAAAGAAATATGCAAACATGTTATTATGCAGTTATTATTATAACATGCAGTTATTATTTTTTTTGCAACTCCTGGGGAAGTTGAATAAGCAAATCGTTATTCTTTTTCTTCCCCCTGCATCTCCCCTTACTTGAAATCTCACCCATTAATACATGAGGTACATAGAGTAGCAGAATATTTTAGAGGGAGAGGACAGATGAGGGCCAACCTTCAGGGGCCCAATCCTTGCTGCAAAAAAGAAAGGCATCAAGGCAGAATGTGAAGATTGCAATTACTTCCACAAGCTGTTTCAATGTCTTTTGTTTGCTCTCTCAACCCAGCAAGAAAAAGTTCAGACTTTTCTGAGTTGCCTATAGATAGAACTCAATAACAACTGGAAAGATGAAGTGATGGTTGCACCTTTTATGGCCAGTCTCATATTACACTACAAGAAAAAGAAGAGTAAGCAGACAGCAATGACTGTTCATATTACACCTCTATAGGCATAATTGTCAGTCCAAATTTCTTTCACATGATACCCAGGAGAGTAAGAGGGGAAAAAAGTTTGCACACTTTTTTGTGCTCATCCAGGTGGCAAACATCAGGGGTAACATAATGGAGAGGTTCAGAAGATGTTTTGGCTTGTCTCTCAGTTTTCATGCTTCATTTTCAACCTTTACTTATTAAATAGGCAAATGTGTACCTTTAATTTTGTGAGAAGGAAAAATGGGCAAGAGAGTAGGTTGGGTGTTGTCCTACGGAATAAGTGGTCTTTATTCCATGTTCCTGAATAAACTGCTTTTTAAACTTAAAGGACTATAGGGTTGCAGCAGGGGTGAAATCTAAAAATTTTTGCTACCGGTTCTGTGGGCATGGCTTAATTAGTGGGCGTGGCTTGGTGGTAAGGTGACTGGGTGGACGTGGCCAAGTCAATGTCACTTCTTTGCCCTTTTTTAACCTACAAAACACAACACAACACAACTGGCTCACCCACAATGTAAAAGCAGCTGTGCTAGACCCAAAATGGCCCCTGCAACAAGCAGGAACCTCACCCAGCCACAAAAAGCCCAAAAAAACAACTTTCACACTTTACACACACACAACACAACACAACTGACTCACCCACAATGTAAAAGCAGCTGTGCTAGACCCAAAATGGCCCCTGCAACAAGCAGGAACCTCACCCAGCCACAAAAAGCCCAAAAAAACAACTTTCACACTTTACACACACAAAATTCCACATACAGCTTTGTGAGATTTTGTGTGTTTATGTAGAGTGAAACACTACAGAAACACACTAAATCTCAGAAAGTTGCACAAATATTATTTTATTTTAATTTATTTTTATATTTATATAAAAGCAGCTAAATTTAAAACTTCCTAAACTTTAAATGGCTAGGTCTAAAAAAAGAACAACTAAAAAAAACCCCAATTAACTATTTTTTTAAAGCTCCCAAAGGGGGAAAAAACTTACCCAATAGAACAAGGGTCTCCAACCTTGGCAACTTTAAGACTTGTGGACTTCAACTCCCAGAATTCCTCAGCCAGCTTTGCTGGGAGTTGAAGTCCACAAGTCTTTAAGTTGCAGATAGAGCTTCTCACCGATGAGCTTGATTGCAGGCAGGGAGATTCAGTTGCTTGCTGATGCAATGGATTGCATTGCGACCAGCAGCTAAGGTAAGCAAGGGGGGGGGGGGGGGGGGGGGGGGAAAAAAAGAAACTTTTTTTTCTTTTAAATGGGTCTGACAATCCAAGCTGAGTTGCCTGATTAGCAGGCAACTCAGCTGGGATCGTCAGAGCTTGGCTGGTCAGAGCTTGGTTCCTCAGAGCCATTTTAAAGAAAAAAAAAGGCTCTGATGATCGCGCGGCTCAGCTGGGCATGGGGGGCAGGGGCAGGGATTTTTGCTACCAGTTCTCCAAACTGCCCGCCGCCATTGCTACCTACTCGCCCGAGCTGGTCCAAACCAGGAGCATTTCATCCCTGGGTTGCAGTCTTCCCTCAAATACTGTTTTATTTTGTCTTTGAGATCCAGTTCAATTTACCCTTAGTCTACTTAGCACTAGTTTGTTCACAGTTCTTTAGCTGGATGACGGTTCTCCAAATATCTAAGAAATGCAAACCAAATGCATTGTTGCATACTTGATACAAAACTACTCATGTAGCATTTGCCATTTCCATAGGAAAAAAAAGCTGAAATGTATGACCTCAATTTTCATTTCCTTCAAAATGTTATGTGCTGGGACTTTTAAATGAAGTTGAATTTCAATATTGAAACCTTGTCATTTCATTTGAATGGTTCAAATTTAAAGCCTTCTTTACATTTAACTGATTAAAAAGAAAATACCATGGAAGAAAACCTGCATCCATTCTGAGAATCATTTGATCAATTCATCTCTTTCATTCCCACTCAGCAATTGCACAATCAAAAAGGATCTCCAGGATATGGATGAGCTGGTTTCCACAAAATTACTAGGAGTCAAGCTCAAATGCAAAACATTATTTTACTTAGACAACAAACCTCTACATAAAAAAGATTAGCACTATCTTGCCCTCTCTCCAAAACTCACTATCAAATTTAAATAGAGAACTTAGGTGTTAGAATTATTGCGTAAACTGTCACAAACAGTTAAAAAACAGTTATCAAAATTTTCATACTAAGGTCAGTGACTGACCAGTATGCCTAACCTAGTCTACAAGCTTAGTCTATAGTGGGATTTAGTTATAGAAAACTATGGAAATGGCCATGGCTAATATTACTACCCAGCAAGAATGTACAGCTGCCAATTATCCCAGATATTTGAGGAAACTATAAAAAATTAAAGTATCGTTGGACTCTTATGTAGGGGTGATTAACACTTCAGCCATTTAAATAGAATGGCAGGTGGTGGGATAGGGATTTGATAGCAAAGCAACATTTATGCCTAATAGCTGAATAACTGCAGAGTAAATGAAGGTCATGCTCTTGTCAAGGAGCAAGACACTGTCTGATCTATGCAATTGTCATGCATAAACAGGTGTGTGTATGCATAAGAGAGTAAGTCTTCAAGATACAGCGCAAATCACATGAAGACCAATATCTCCAACTCTCCAAGCAATCTTATTACCTTCCAAGTTTGCTTTTGATGAATGAGAATTCAGTGGAGCAAACATCTTACAGCACATCTCCTTCTCTTTCTCCATGTAATCTCTGTAACAGCTGCAAGTTAAAGCAAATGGTTTCAGCACTGGAGTGCCATCAATTTGTTTTTAAAAAGCAGACATTTTAAAACAAGTCTAAACATACAACTGTTTACTCTGGAACTAGAGAACTCTGTGAGCGTGGCTAATAACATCAAGAACTGCAACTTGTCAGGTTTTGCACTTAGTTTAATGAACCTTAAAATCAGACTGACTATAATGCAATACTGATCAGGAGTCACAACAGAGCTTTCCAGCTGAATATAATGAACATCATTTAATGAAATTTAGTATGTTATTGTTATCATTTATATTAGCTTTCTTGTTTATATCAATTAAAGTTAATTTTAATAATTTAACAGCTGAATATGTTGTGCATCATTTAATTTGTAATAAACCCATTTCTAATGGCCAATAAAATGATCGCTTGATAAATGATGGTTTAAAAGCATGAAATCCAGAAGACACTCAACATTTGTAAAGCAGAAGCAAAATATTTGCTAAACAAAGAAGCCAGTTGTGTCAAAAGCCAACCAAAACCATGCCTGTTCTCTTGTGAGTAGGTTTGCAAATATCTTTAGCTGAAAGAACCAGTGAAATTCTTCTTCTAGCATTCTGTTGAAAGGCTAGAAAAATAGTTAGCATTAAAGTGTCCTGTCTAGGATTAGGGGGAAAATGGATTTTAGTCTGTCCAAATAAAGGCATTTTTCCAGTTGTATGTTAAGCAGAAAAAAAACAAAAACAAGTGAACCTGCACTTAGCAAAGAAAGAGAGGGAAATCATCTAAAGAAACAAATAGGGCGCTTCAGAGGGATGTGGAAACTTTCCCACATCCTAATAGTGTTTCCAAGTGCTGGACAACTGAAACAGATTTTTTATTGGCATTTGATCAATGTTTAAACAGGCTTCACCATCTCAAAAGATTTAATCTACAAGTAGTCCTCATTTAACAACTGGTCACTTAATGACCATTTGAAATTATGATGTCCTCCCCAGAATAACTTACGATCTTGATTCAAAGTTCTGATGGCCACACAATCCCTCTGCAGTCATGTGATCACATTTTAGGTGCTCAGTAACTAGCTCACATTTATGGTCATTTGCAGGGCCCGGCTTGTGACTATAATTTTCAGCATTTTTTTTTGCTGGTTTCCAGCAAAAATGTTCATTGGTAAAAAAGGGTTTGCTTCACAACCATTACAAAAAGGCCATAAAATTGGGCATGGTGAATTGTTTAACTACTGCCACAACTTATGACTGTAACTATGGGTTCACTTACGGTTGTAAATTGTACTTTGTAGCAAACTAGTGCTATTTCTCCCTATTTGGTATGCTCACTTATTCAGTCCAAAATAGTTTAATCATTAGCAGTATATTGAGGATTGAATAGCTACAGGGAATAAATTTGAACCATTACCATGAATCTAACTGGTAAGTGAATGAGTATCCAATTCAGCTAATATAGCAGTCAAGTAAGTGCTCTATCACCTGGCCAGCTTTTTCAACTCATTGTTAATATCTTGGTTGAAGGGCTGTTCTTTCTGAGCTTTGACCAGAAACTCTCGGGCTCTCTCATACTCCGTCAAGTAAAGGCATGCCTGGAAATTAAGAATACAGAATGCACATAAGTTGCAATTGCAGTTTGATCACTTCTCTTGAAGAGTAAAACAAGGTGAAGGATTTTCCTTTTTTGCCAGGTTCACATAGCAAGCTGGAATTATTTGCAATTCTGCCTTATTGATTGTAAGCAAGAAGTCTTGCACGCAATGATAAGTTCATACAATGGACACTTTAGGACTATTATTCACATCAGTTTTGAGAGCATGTTGCAGACACAAGAAGAATGACAGCTAGGCAGTGTGGGGAAGGGGAACTTATCATAAAATAGTACATAGCCAGACACAATGCAACGATCTGTCAAAGTCAAATTGGTGAGATTATTTCCTTCCACCCCCTCTAGCCTATAAAACTTTCTTCGAACCATTTGTTTACCTATGTCAAATAGGATACATTTACAAGCAAAGCACAGATCTGCACTCACTTAGCATCCATGGTCTCCATATTAGTACCCATTTTTAAAAGATGGGTTTAACATTGTGTAAATCTATCTATTGTGGTTTATAAATCATGGTTCATGATTTAACTGGTTGTGCATTCCCAGAAACTGTATTTAAGTAAGAATTATTTTAATAAACTTGGATTATAATGATATGTAATTTAAATCATTGCCTAACTACTTTTTTTTTGTTTCCTGTCAAAGATGTTAACTATATTAGAAACAGAAAAGCAAAGATGTTTCTGTTTAAGAAAAGCAAAGTAGAAGTAATTAGACATCACATACTAGAATGTAATCTGTAAAGAATAAAGTAGATTCTCCATAAAACTGTTTTACTGTTAAAATTATTTACTTTAAATCTCTTCATATATTGATAGCATTCACTGACACTGCCTAAGTATCCAGTGGTGGGTTGCCCCCGGTTCGCACTGGTTCTATAGAACCGGTAGTAAAACTGGTGGGAGGCTCCGACATCATCAAAATGCTTCTGCGCATTTGCAAGATATGCAAAATGGGGGAAAAAACCACCCTCCATACCTGGCCACATCTGAAGAGGGCTTTAGCATTCTTTTTATCTAACTCTAAGGCTTTTTCGCCATAGGCTAGGGCTCGATCTGGACGTTCCAACTTCAAGCAAACAAAAGATAAATTCAGGAAGACCAGAAGCCTGGCAGCATCAACTTTGTCTTTTTCAGTCTCCTTGGCGCATATGCGATTGAGTACTGAAGAGGCCTGGTTGAGTAGAAATAAAACAATAAACAATAAACTTACATCAGAGAAAAGATCTGTGATAGAGAATTGCTGGAAATGCTCGTTAGACAAATGTACTGACTGCCATATGTGTTGGGTAGCATGGATGCTGACTTGAGACACAATTCAAATAAATGTTTATGTATTATTTATTAAGGATTTTATCTTACCTTCTATTAAGGAGCCCAAGAGGATCCCACTATTTTTTTCTCACAACCACTCCATCAGGTTGGTTGGGCACAGAAAGAATGAATGGTCCAATCACCCAGTGGGCTTCTACACTAGAACTAGAGTTCTTTTCAACCATCTTAACTATATTACACAGGCTTTTTTAAATGATAATGTTCTTGTTTCTTCTGTCTAGCTGTCCCCCAATCTTACTAACTTCCAGAAAAAGACTTTGGAACATTCACAAGTAGTCAAACAAAAACCATTTTTTTTAGATTCTAGACAATGTTACCAATATTTAAGAAATAATGACTCCAATTAATGTGATTTTTCACAGAGTTTTGTATTTCTAAAAGACCATGACAGAACCATATTAACTGCAAGATAACATATATTTGAGCCACTTATTTAATTATTTTAAATTTTATCATTGTTTTGTCTGTGTTTTTAAATAGGCTGTACACCGCCCTGAGTCCTTCGGGAGAAGGGCGGTATAGAAATAAAATTATTATTATTATTATTATTATTATTATTATTATTATTATTATTATTATTATTATTATTATTATATATAAAGTCTGATATGTTTTTTTTATTAGAACTTCCAGAAAACAGCATTTTCTAGAGCGTATATAGAATCACTGAGCTAGAAGCAACCTTGCAGGTCTTCTAGCTCAAACCCCCCCTCCCCTGCTTATTGTTCTAAAATTGCTTTTCTTGAAGACCTTCAGCAAAGGAGTACCCATAACTTTGGGAGGCAAGCTGTTTCACTATTTACCATATTTTTTGGACTATAAGATGCACCAGTGTATAAGACGCACCAAGATTTCAAAGAGGTAAAGTAAGAAAAAAAATGTTTTTGCCCTCCCTGGCCCTCAGAAGCACTCTGCAGGCCTCCCAAACCCTCTGTGTGCCCAGTTTTTTGCAAAAACAGGCGAAAAATGGGCTGTTTTTTGCCCGTTTTAGCGAAAAATGAGGCACGCATAGGGTTTGGGAGGCCTGCAGAGTACTCCTGGGGGCTGGGGGAGGGGAAAAAAACTCCATTTTTGAAAAAAAACGGGCGAAAAACAGGCCTATTTTTCAGAAAAATGGAATGAGTGGGGTGGGACTTCAGGAGGCCAAAAATGGTTGTATTCGGTGTATAAGACACACCAACATTTCCACCCTCTTTTAGGGGGGGAAAAGGTACATCTTATACTCTGAAAAATATGGTAATTGTTCTTACTGTCAGGAAAGTTCTCCTTAGTTCCAGATTGGATCTCTCTTTAATGAGCTTCCACCCATTGATTCAAATCCTGCCCTCAGGTGCTTTGGATAAGTTGACCCCTTCCTCCTGGGACTGCCCCTCAAATACTGTAAGACAACTATCGTGTTACCCCTGAGCCTTCTCTTAGTTAGAGTAAACATGCCTAGTTCCCTTAACTGTTTCATCATACTGTTTAGCCTCTAGACCAGGTATGTCAAACTCGCGTTGTCATGGCAGCGTCAAGTGACGCATTGTGACTTTTTCCCCCTTTGCTAAAACAGGCGTGGGCATGGCCAGCGTGTGACACATCCGGTCCATGGGCCGTGAGTTTGACAGCCCTGCTCTAGACCCTTTATCATCTTTGTTGCTACTCTCTGCACTCTTCCTAGAGTCTCGGTATCTTTTTTGTATCATGGCAACCAGAACGCAGTATTCCAAATGTGGCCTCACTTGTGCTGCATAGAGTGGTGCCATCACTTCTTGTGATCTTGATGCTATCCCTCTACTGATGCAGCCTACGACTGCATAGGCTTAAAATTATTCACATTTCGGTGTGGATAGGAAGATTGTTGTGCTGGATACAATTTTAAATTTCTAGATGTAGTTTGTGATTCATTCCCTATTCCATGAATGCTACTTACCCGTTTGTACCTCTCCTTGGCATCCATGAAACGTGTCTGACGGAAGAGGTAATTGCCAAATTCACGTTCTGTTTCTGCTACCTTTATAATTTTCTCCAGTGGAAATCTATCCTGTTGCTCCTTTGCAGAGAAATAATAATCTAGTTAGAGAAACTAGTCCTAATAGTTATAAGTTTAAGCAAAAATGGTTATGCTGAAAACCTACACAAGTTAGTTCTTTAAAGCCCTAAATGACTTAAGACTGCCTCTCCTACTACAAATCTGCCCAATTTTTAGAGACCTTTTTAATTATTTTTCATTACCAGAATCTCAGTGATATTGTGGACATAAGAGAGGGTCTTGTCCAGACTATGGAATGCTCTCTACCAAGCAAGGTATATTTGGCCCATTCTTTCAACATTTAGGAAAATACAAAAAAATATCCTTTTTTGTTAAGGCATCATTGCTAACTGATTTGACTTGCATTAATTTGCCTTTTTTATTGTTTGACATTTATAAGTCAGAGTGTAAATTTAGTCATGAGTGATGACTAAATAAGGCTGGAAAGCACAACTATTTTAAGGGAAGAAAAAGCAAAAAACTACAGTAGGGGATAGAAGAAAATGTATAAATAAGCATATGCGATTTTATATCCTATAAACACGATATAAAAACGTAGATTAATTAGTAACATTCGCCTTAGAACAAGGGTTATCAAATTCGATTTCATTGAGGGCCACATCAGGATTGTGTTTGACCTCAGGGGACTGGGTGGGTCTGGCCGGGGCCAGCTCGACATCACTTGTGTCAGCTCAATGTCACTTGTTTTCGGCCGCAATGGCCTCCTGCAGCCCTCTGCCAACAAAAACAACGCTCGGAGGGGCCGCTTGCAAGCTCTGTTTTTGCTGGCAGAGGCAATGTGGGCCAGTCCTTTGTTGTTTCCAGGGTGGCCCCGCAGGCCAGATCTAAGCACCCTACAGTCCCCCCTCTTTTGGAATGGTCAGGTGCCTGCTTAGTGTCTTGTACACATTGAAAACAATGCGATCATGCCAGTTCAGGGCTGAGAGCCACAGGCTTGCTACGCAGGTTAAAGTACTCTCTTGAAATCTCTTCCTCTCCAATCTCTCCACTCTGCAAGGGGGGTGAGGATGTAGCCATCTTTCCTTTGCCTGACCCTTTTCTGCTGCTGGCGCATCTGCATTGCTCTTGATGTATATAAGAGCATACAGCTTACTCTCTTGAAATCTCTTCTCCAATCGATGTGCTATGAAGGAGTGGAGGGAAAGGCAAAGGAGATGGCCTACAGAAATCGCTTGCTTCCCTTCCTTACTAAGCATGCAGTCATAGACTTCATGACTACATTGCTTAGTGACAACCATCTTGGCAATCTCCACTGTCATCATTAAACAAGGACCATGTTGGTTCTTAAGTGAGGACCTCATGTGACTGCGGCATAGGAACAGGCACTGAAACTGCATTCCAGGCAAACAGGCCAGTGTGGGGATGGGTACTACAGAGTATGATATCCTCATACCATCTGGGAGCTCCTTGGGGGAAAAAAGCCAGAGAAACTTGCAACTTCCTGCTGGCTTCCTCCTTGACTTCACGTGAAGCCAGCAAGGAAGGTTACAAATAGTGATAATGTGACTGTACAACACTGCAACTGTTGTAATAACAAGTTGGATGCCAAGTGCTTGAATTGCCATCATGCAACGCCATGACGGTTGCAATTTCAAGGTCTGGTCACGAGTCTCCCTTGTTCTGTGCTGTTGTAATTTGAATGGTCACTGAATGAGTATTTGTAACCCAAGGAGTAATTGTAAAGGTCCATTTGGGGCAGTTCCATAAACGCAAAAGTTTGATCACTCAATAGCAATAGCAAAGCTAACATACATCAAGGATTGTCTGTGATTTAGTATTTATTTCCCATTAATCTGTTTCCCTCCAGCTACATTCCATACAGCTAAATGGAAAAGAAAAAATACAAGATTTGACACTATGTATGAAAGACTGATTGGGATTTTTGTTTCCTAGCTAGAAATAGGGGATAATTTTGTTTGGCTCATTTTTCTTCGTGTTATCAAAATCAACATTTTTCTTCATGAACAACATGGAAAGAACTTAGGATCAAACAAGAAAGCACTAAGTATGCATGAAAAGAAAACTGCCAAGATCCATCCATTCTTAGATTGAATGTAAGACCAACAAGGTAGTTGATTTTTATTAATAGGTCAGATGCACGGAAAGCTGCCTTGTCTTTAATTATTTTGGCCCTTCAACTGCTATGCCCAATTCTAATGCTTTCACTTTTCCTATAGTTGGAGATTGCAGAGAGCAATCTCCAACTTCAATAGCTCCTCAGTGGTAACATTTCTATTTAATTTAATTTATATGCTGTCCATCTCATGGTTTGAGGTGACGCTGAGCAGCTTACTTGTAAAAAATAGTTTCACAAGGACCACTGCTGTACAAATTATAGTTCAAAACCTCTAATTTCAGAAGATGTAATTGAATGGTACTAATACAGACTATTAGATATAAATTTGATAACTCACAGGAGGCAGGTCAAAGAACCTATCTGATTCTGCCGAGTCCAAAAAGTCCAAAAGCTCAACTTCAAACAAGACTGTGGAATTGGGGGGAATCAAAGGAGGGCAACCCAAAGTTCCAAAGGCATAATTTGGCTTGAAGAGAAATCTTGCCAACTCTCCTTTTCTCATTGTGAGTAATCCAACTTCCAAGCCCCTCAGAGTAATATCTAGGAAAGCAAAACAGAAAATCCTTATTTCCAGAATTTCCGTACTGTATTACTGTTTGTTTTGAACTGATTGCAGAAGAAAGAAGAATCACGCAGAAAATACAGAAATGGCAAAAGAGCATGTGGCAAACTGGTTTGTTCAGAGGAACAGGAAATCATTCAAGATGTGACAATGGAGATCACACTGAGGATAAAGAGTTATAATGCATTAGATCAGATATCTATATAAGCATTTACTGATTAAACTCAAATTATATTTATATCCACTAAGTCGTGTATCTTTCACTCACCTTCACCAAGTTTCATGAGTTTGGGGTTTTTCTTGAACCAATTTGTATCAAAGGGTCTGTCCGTGTGTTCTAAATACCCTGAAAATTTCACTGAAAAATATCAGAATCAGAATAAATGTCATTGAGAAACATTGAACATATTAATTTCATCGGCATAAATGTCCTTAGGAATAGTTTTGCTATGTGAAGTTTGTTGAGCTTGGCATTGTTTTAAATTCCTTAATCAAGGAACACATTATCGGTTACACTTTTTTTTTCCCTTTTGGAACACAGAATATGATGTTATACAAAATGCAGAAATATTAAAACAGGCAAAGAACCTAAAGACATAAAAAAGAGAAAAAACGCCTTTTATACTAACACACATTATACTTTTCCAAAACTTTATATTCTTGCAAACCATCTTGTTTCTACCATATCCACACACACTTCATATACTATGTCTTGTTCTTCAAACTTGACACCTTTTTTTGTTAATCTCACCAACTCCATCCAACCACAACTTTCTTGATCTTCCCCTTTCTTTATATTTGTTTTGTGATTTCAACCTCTGATTCTCTTTATATGACCAAACCACTTCAAAGTACCTGTTACTCTATTTTGTATTTCATTCACATCCATTCAGTACCCATTTATTCTTAACCTCACATCTGCAGTTTTTTCAACACACACTTTAATAAGTATCCATTCCCATTGCAGTCATCTTTTGTTTCTTCACATACTTATTTCCATATATGCATATAGGCAGAAACATGTATATACTGTCATTTTTACTTTATTCCACACACACATTCCTCCTAATGGACTATTCATTAATCAGTACCGTCCTATAAGCATTTGTTTGTTAAATTCTTCATCCATTTTTCCTCCTTTATTAAACATTTTACCAAGGGATACTAATTCATATTTTATTATAGTTTTTTTTATCATAGATTTATTATAGTTTTGGGTCATAGACTATATGAAATGGAATACTTATTTCCTTGTCAAGTACAATTACTGTATAGTATTTTAATTGTTTACCCTTCCTTTTTAACTTTATAAGTAACTCAAAGGAGCAAATATATGTAATACTACTTCCTCCTTCTATTTTCCTCACAACAACCCTATGAGGTGGATTAGGCTAAGAGAGAGTGACTGTCCCAAGTAACCAAGTATCCCAAGTAGCCTCAGCCCTGCCCGCACTGCTAGATGACCTGGCCGAATTGGCGTTTGAACTCCCCAACCTTCTGGTTGTGGAAGATTTCAATTTTCCATCGGCCAGGGAGACATCTGAGTCAGTCCGGGAGTTCATGGCCTCCATGACAGCCAGGGACCTAACTCAGGTTGTACAGGGCCCAACTCATAAGGGAGGATACACACTCGACCTGGTTTTTCTCTCTGAACAGTAGATAAATGATTGTGGTAGGGGAAACTTGTCAACCTATCCCCTATCATGGTCCGATCATTCCCTCCTCAGGCTGGACTTTCTCTCCGTCATCCCCCGCCGCTGGGAAGCGGAACCAGTGAGATTGTTCCACCCCAGGCACCTGATGGACCCAGAAGGGTTCCTGACGGAGCTTGGGCCTTTTCTTTATCCCATGATTCGTCTGAGGCCCTGGTCGCAGCCTGGGAACAGGCCGCGGTGGGGGCCTTGGATCGAATTGCGCCTTTGCGGCCTCTGACCCGACGCAAATCCCGGGTGGCTCCCTGGTTCACTGCGGAGCTCAGGGAAATGAAGCGTCGGAGAAGACGCCTGGAGGGCAGTTGGAGATCCTCCCGATCCGAATCTGACCGAACACAGTTAAAAACCCATATTAGGTCTTATCTTGTGGCAATGGAAGCGGCAAAGCACCAATATTTTGCCGCTCTCATTGCATCTGCAGAAAATCGCCCAGCCGCCCTGTTTAGAGTGGGATTGGCAGTTGTCAACGCTTCTTTGAGGGAAGGAGTCTTCCCCGCCACACTCAAAGAGGCGGTGGTTCGTCCCCTCCTCAAGAAGCCCACCCTGGATCCAGACTCCCTTAATAACTATTGTCCAGTCTCCAACCTTCGCTTTATAGCGAAGGTTGTTGAGTCTGTGGTGGCACAGCAGCTCCCGCAGTTCCTGGAGGAAACTGAGTACCTAGAGCCGTACCAATCGGGTTTCAGGCACAGTTACAGCACAGAAACGGCATTGGTCGCCCTAGTAAATTATCTCTGGCGGGCCAGGGATGGGGGTTGTTCCTCCATCCTGGTCCTTCTTGACCTCTCAGCGGCTTTCGATACCATCGACCATGGTATCTTACTGCAGTGACTCGGGGGGGTTGGGGGTGGGAGGCACCATTTTATGGTGGTTCTCCTCCTACCTCTCAGGCCGCTCGCAGTTTGTGTGGACGGGGAGAGAGAGATCCATGCCGAGGCCCCTCACGTGTGGGGTGCCTCAGGGGTCGGTTCTCTCTCCTCTGCTCTTTAAATCTACATGAAGCCGCTGGGTGAGATCATTTGTGGTTTCGGGGTGAGGTACCATCAATATGCTGATGACACTCAGCTTTACATCTCCACCCCGGATCTCCCTGGGGATGCCCTTTCTGTGATGTCCCGCTGCCTGGAAGCGGTGCGGGCCTGGAGGGGAAGAAACAGACTCAGACTCAACCCATCCAAGACCGAGTGGCTGTGGATACCAGCATCTCTTGATCTAGTGGCCCTGTCACTAGTGATGGGAGGGGAGATCCTTACTCCCTCAGAAAGGGTCCGCAATTTGGGGGTCCTCCTGGATTCACGGCTATCCCTAGATGATCATTTGACGGCCGTGACCAGGGGGGGCTTTGCACAGGTACGCCTTGTGCGCCAGTTGCGCCCTTTCCTAGATCGGGATACCCTTGCCACGGTCACTCATGCCCTTGTTACGTCTCGGTTGGACTACTGCAACGCCCTCCACATGGGGCTGCCCTTGGGATGCACCTGGAGACTACAGTTAGTCCAGAATGCGGCCGTGCGGGTTGTTACGGGGGCTTCTCGGTACTCCCATGTGACACCTCTCCTGTGCGAGCTGCACTGGCTGCCGCCAGTGCAGCTTCATTTCAAATGCCACCTTCATTTCAAATGCCACCTTCATTTCAAGGTGCTGGTGCTCACCTATAAAGCCCTACACGGCTTAGGCCTGGGGTATCTGCAGGATCATCTCCTGCCTTCCTCCCACTGTCCGGTGCGCTCACACAGAGCGGGCCTCCTCAGGATGCCGTCAGCCAGACAATGTCAGCTGGTGGCCCCCAGGGGGAGAGCATTCTCTGTGGGAGCGCCGACCCTCTGGAATGGGTTGCCCACCGGCCTCAGGACAGCCCCGGACCTCCTCTCCTTCCGCCGCGAATTGAAGACATGGCTTTTTCACCAGATGGGCTGAATCCGTAGGGGTGATTTCAAATAATTTCAATAATTTTTAATTGATTTTAACTTTAAACTGATTTTAAATTGTTTATGTAAGTCTTTGTTTTGTTTTGTAAGCCGCCCTGAGTCCTACGGGAGAAGGGCGGCATATAAATTACATAAATATATAAATAAAATAAATAAATAAACTCATCTGGCTTTCATGACTAAGGCAGGACTAGAACCAATAGTCTCCTGATTTCTAGGCTAGCACTTTAACGACCCTACCAAACTGGCTCTCAAACAGTAATCTTTGAAGCATTATTTTTCAGATCCATACTCTTCATTGCATCATGCAATCTAATGTTTGCTGTAGATCATTCTTGGTCCCAGCTGATAACACACCATTATCACAAGCACTCCTTATATAACTACAAATCTGTAAATAACTAAGAACATATCTTTGCCTACTTTCTACTCAACATGAAATCATTTACTAAGCATTCTTTTATTGTTCCTGTATGATTTACTTACCTTATATATTGTTATCACATTCAAAATAGTCCATAATGAATAGTATTAGCTTTATTATACACTTACATTAATTCAATAAACTTTTCTTCACACATTCTTGCTGAGCAATTAAAAATCTGGACTGCATGCAAGTCACACCTCAATTTGGCTTGTTATCACTTCTCATACTATTTCAGTCTGACGGCTGCTAAACACCTTCTCAAACACATTTGATAAATTAACCCCCCTATAATGTTCTCTACAAAGGCACATATACTTTAATATTATTAGCTTACCTATACTGTTACACAGGTGCTATGTGAGTATTCTGGCAAATTTTTTTTACTATTTGAATAAAGCACAGTGCAGCCATCAGAACCTCTTAGAAGCATAAGAATATAATTAATGAAGATCATTTGCCTAATTTTTCAGAACAAATGGTACAAATATTAATTTAGAAACAAGATCCATTTGCTAATTAATCTGATCTTTTAATTTTTCCTTCTCTAGCTCTTAATTAAATAAGGAAAAATAGATACCATATAATATCAATATTCGATAGACCCTAAAACCACAACAAATCAATGCAACTACTTTACCTAATACTGATGAATCAGGAGGGACTGTCTCACCAGAGCCATCTCGGATTATTTCTTTCAACACTCCTCTGTCACCAGTAATATTCTGCATACGGTGACCCAACCACTGGTAAGACTTGGAACAATGAACATAAGAATATGCCAAGCATAATATTAATCTCTTTTGCAAAACCAAATCCATCCTGAAAGAGCTTTGCATGATTGTTAGCCTTTAATGAACTTACTAATAAAGTGAACTTAATAAAATATTTGCTAAATGTTTTACCTTTGGATAAGCTGTTTGAAGGTACTTAAAATATCAGAATACACTGTAAATACCGATTGTTTAGTGTATTTATTACTATATAATCCCTACTTTCTTGAATTGAGAATTGAGGTTTATAACCCTTTTGATTGATGCAACAGACTGCTTTTAGAATGCTTTAAATTCCTATTAATTTAATCTCTTATTCATGGTAATTAAACCTATTTTACTTTTTGAGCCAATCATGTAAAATTTTATCATTGCTACACTGTATATTTTGCACTTGGCTTAAATAGTAAATTACAGTAAAACTACTTATTTAAATTATCAAGAAGCATAACCAGAAAGTTGAAAGAGTTTACATATTTTGATATAAAGCACATTCACTTGAATTTGGGCGAAGGAAGGAAAAACATTGGCCAACTCATATATTAGCTTTAATGTCATTCGTTCAGTTTTTGCTTAGGAGGCAAGAGAGTCCACTAAGTATGGTTTGTAAATTTTGGTTATGAATTAGTACTACAGTATTGGGGAACTCTAGGCATTTTAATATGTAAAAAAAAAAACCATGCATTCTGAAACACTCCCAGAAACCAATTTTACGTGCCCATAGATATTTGGTGTGAGATAAATCAGATAAAATAATTTAAGAGCAAAGAAGGACCAGCAAAACATCAGAAGGTCCCAAGATTCAATCCTAGGAGTTCCCCCAAAATGATGTGACCTGAGATAAATCTACCAGTTTTGGGCCATAAAAACAACAACAAAAACCCGCTTCAAAGCCAGCTAGCAAGTTGTATATAGCAGGGGTCTCCAACCTTGGCAACTTTAAGCCTGGGGGACTTTAACTCCCAGAATTCCCCAGCCATGGTTTGTAAATTTTGGTTATGAATTAGTACTACAGTATTGGGGAACTCTAGGCATTTTAATATGTGAAAAAAACCATGCATTCTGAAACAGTCCAAGAAACCAATTTTACATGTCCATAGATATTTGGTGTGAGATAAGTCAGATAAAATAATTTAAGAGCAAAGAAGGGCCAGCAAAACATCAGATTGTCCCAGGATTCAATCCCAGGAGTTCCCCCCAAAATGATGTGACTTGAGATAAATCTACCAGATTTGGGCCACAAAACAAAACAACCACTTCAAGGCCAGCTAGTGAGTTTATATAGCAGGGGTCTCCAACCATGGCAACTTTAAGCCTGGAGGACTTCAATTCCCAGAATTCCCCAGCCAGCTCTGCTGGCTGGGGAATTCTGGGAGTTGAAGTCCTGCAGGCTTAAAGTTGCCATGGTTGGAGACCCCTACTATATAGGTATAGTAGCCTGACACGAAGCAACATCGAAAGCTATCGGGATCCATTTTCCAAATCACTTTTAATGGGCCTCCATCCCCGTCAAAGCAGAACTGAGTGGTCAGCATAAGCCGCCCTTCTTCCTTCGCGACTTCATCGAAACGCGCGAGCCGCGAGGGTGGCGCCAGTATATTGAAGAAAGGTGCCGGAGGAAGACACCAAGAAGCCTCTTTCCTTCGCCTCACCCCGAAATTTCCCACCCCGGTGCCGTCTTCTCCTCCTCGCAGGCTGCTCCCATTATCCTGCCAGCGTCGCTCGCCGCTTCGCCTCATTTCCATGCCTTTCCAAAGCAAGCAGTTGGAGCAATGGGTCTCCCTGAGGCCTGCCCCCCCCCCAACCCCTTTCCCGCCTTAACCGCCAGAGCAAATGGGAAGGCGTCCCCTCCGAATACTTTGCAGCCCTCGATCAATCGGAACAGTCGAGGTCTCGGGCCACCCACCGGCGCTGTCTTACAAGCGCAGCTGCGTGGCCGCTTGCTTTTTACTTTGAGGGCTTGCCTGTAATTGTGGGTAGTAGCTGTTGTATCCTGCAAACTGCAGGATACTTTGCAACAATTAACTGTCAGACCCGGCTCCTTCTTGTATGTAAAGGTCCTGTTTATCTCATAGTCCGGTCAGAGGGACGTCTGGAGAGTTTAATGCGTTGAAATACGAGCAGAAAAGGGGCTGCCACAAAGAAGGAGTCAAGCTATTCTCCAAAGCACCTGAGGGCAGGACAAGAAGCAATGGGTGGAAACTAATCAAGGAGAGAAGCAACTTAGAACTAAAGAGAATTTTCCTGACAGAACAATTAATTAGTGGAACAACTCGCCTCCAGAAGTTGTGAATGCTCCAACACTGGAAGTTTTTAAGAAGAGATTGGATAACCATTTGTCTCAAATGGTGTAAGGTTTCCTGCCTGAGCAGGGGGTTGGACTAGAAGACCTCCAAGGTCCCTTCCAACTCTGTTATTCTATTCTAGAAAACTGCAAGATGAAACTATGTGAAGAGTGAAGAGCTGAGGGCTTATATCATCTTTGTAAACTTCAGGGAAGAGCAGGATAAAATAAAAATAAAAGGGGACGTGATTGTCATAATACTCTAATCTTTTTTTGATCTTGGATATGTAGTTTAATGATTGTGCATGCAAAACACTCTTAACTAGGTTAGTTACACACCCAAAGTGCAACGTGCAAAACACAAACTTAGTTGTTTAGCGTGTTTCGTTTATGGCACCACTGTATTAACTGGGTTGTGAATAGAATAACACTTAGAATTATATATCACTTTACAGCCTTCTCTAAGTGGTTTTCAGAGTCAGCCTATTGCCCCCAACAATTTGAGGCCTCATTTTACCGACTTTGGAAGGATGGAAGGCTGAGTCAACCTGGAGCCGGTCTGAATCAAACTTCTAAAGTGAACAGTGAGTTAGCCCTGCAGTACTGCATTCTAACCACTTCGCCACCATGGCTCTTTAATGCAGCCAGTGTCACCTCTGTCTCTTGACATTTTACACGTTTACTTCCACATTAGCACATGGCACATATTCCATCTTCCATGTCTTTGCTTTCTTGTGCTTGTGAAAATAACCTTGGAAGACGTTTTTCAAACTCCAAAGGTTGTGTTTTGTATTCTCAGCTTCAGTGAGGTTAATATGTTGTTTCAAATGGATTTTGAGCCTTTCTTTCTCTTTCATAATCAATATGGCTTCTTTCTCTTTTTCTACTTTATAGCACAAAATAAAGTGGGCCAGGTCAGTTAGAGAACTGTTTTGTCTGAAAAACAGCACTTTGAGACTGGATAGAGCTGGTCGATCCTTTGTAACTCTGTTATGGATTGTATACTCTATGAACCGATATGACAGAAAGCATGAATTGATATTTAGATTATTTTGGAGAGTCAAGTGTGGTATAGTATGTAAGTTAAAATCCCAGGCTAGAAACCAGGAGACTATGATTTCTAGTTCCGCTTAAAGCACAAAGTCATGTTGGAAGAAATACCCTTTTTGGTTCAGTTCCAAGTGGGGGAAAAAGACACTGGATTCATGGAAGTTGCTTGGAAAAAAGGTTTATTCATGAACAGGATCACATGGCTTGAGTTCCTGAACAGAAAAGGGCAGAGATCTGAGAGTGCCTTGGTTTTATACCCTCTGTTGGGCTTTGAATTTGAGCTTGTATTCTGATTGGTTGTCAGACTCCCATGGGGCCATGCACGGGCAACTCTGTAAGCTGTGTTTTGAGTCCAAGTTTGGTTGAGCCTTGCTGGGTGATGTAATCTTCCCAGGTGCCATGTGGTGAGATAGGTAGAGGGCTAATCCTATCTTTGTTGGATCTTGGATGAGGGCATTTGCCTATGAATAGATCTAGCTATCTCTTTATCTCTTAAGTGCTGATATCTGCTGTGGGCTATTGAGGAGTGTGGGGGCTATTAAGAGTGAGTCTGTTTCCTGCCTAAAAACATGTTTCTCCATTTCTCATCCAGGGAAATATAATATTCTGCCTTTTTAATATTTCCTAAAATATTTCATTGTTCTAGGAGAGGGGTGGGTGCTAAGTTCCTACAGTCAGCAAGGTGACCTTGGATCAGTTACACACTCTCAGCCTTAAGAAGGAGGCAATGGCAAAACCACTTTTGAAACCTTGCCAAAATTGTAGAGACTGGTCCAAGCAGTCACCAGGAATATCCAACTAACTCAAAGGCACACACACAAATGTTGCTGTGGGTATGTCTGAAAGTAGGAATTTTTGGTGATCGTTGCATGTCATTATAATAAATGTAATGAAACATCCAGAGATGAATTTAGGGAAAATTGTGAAATTTTCAAATAAATGTGCATAAGGGAAAAATTGGTTGGAATAAAGTAGATTTAGGTAAACTTACCCTTTTTGTTACCTGCTACTTTTACTTTGTTTATAATCTTATACCTGTTTTGCACATTCTTACCTTGAAAGGGAGCAGCATGATGGGAATGTATGTATATTCACAATATAGAAAACCCAGAAGAGGGCCTTAAAACAACTTGTAATGTAATTCTATAACATCTAATTTTGTATTGCAAAACATGAAAGTATATTTCTACAGTAAAAAGATTGTAAAATCACTTTATTCAGTATAAAAGATTAAAAAACAGTATTGGCTTTTAAACCACTAAAAGCAAATAGAAACCATTAATAGCAAAGAGAAGAGATGAGACATAATAAGCAGGTGCTAAAATTGAAAAAAAATCTTCACAGCAAACAAATTTAATGCATTAATATGTACAGATAGAAATTAATGAATACCTCAACCTTTTAGTTATATTTGCATAGTGATAGTGTTAAGTATTGGCTTATAGTTTTTTTACAATCTTGGTGAAATATTTACTTACTGCATTCATTATGGTCTTACTTGAAACTCTAGAATAGAAATATTAATTTGGGCATTTTAATTTAAATAACAGTAAGAGCTAGTACTGTCTAGAAAATCCAGCGTATCTAGCCTTTCGGATTTATAAAACTTGCTAAAATGGGTAACAATGGAGGAAAAAAAGATTGAAAAGCAGAAAGAAGGAAAAAAGTGGCCCTTTGAAATCAATTGCCTGGCAGGCTTCCCAGAAGCAGCCTAGAGGCAAAGTGAGATGTTTGTTCCAAGCAATAGATTCTGAGCATCATTTCCTAGAATGACAGTGGAACTCCTCCATAGGCCACAAACAATGCATCACAAGGAAGTTATTCTGCAAAAGCCCACTGAAAATAATGGAAATATAGTGTTCATTTCAACTGAGTTCTTGTAATTTTGGACTAAACTCTTCTCCTTTTGGACTTAACTACCCTTAAACAGCGGAAAGTATAGATGTAATTGAGATTCTACATTTTGGCATGGAGTTCGCTCTGTTGCTTTATAGGTAATCCAGACCAGAGTCTCTGGTCTCTATAACTGTAATAAATTGAAAAAAAATTATATGTAGTCTTGATTTCGCCCCTTAAAGCCAGGATGCCCTCAAATAGAGCCTTGGTAGTACAGTGGTTTAGAGCACCCTGTCATTAACACAGCTGCCTGCAATTACTGCAGGTTCGAACCTTACCAGGCTCAAGGTTGACTCAGCCTTCCATCCTTTCTAAGGTAGGTTAAATGAGGATCCAGTTTGTGGGGGCAATAAGCTGACTTTGTATAAATATACAAAAGTATGAAGGCTATTGCTTAACGCATTGTAAGCCGCCCTGAGTCTCCGGAGAAGGGCGGCATATAAATCAAATTTAAAAAAAAAAAAATAGTCAGGTGCACTAAAAAACAAAACAAAGTCCTGAAGCAAGTCTCTAGAAATTCTTTACATTGAATGAGTTCTATTCAGTTTGGTTTGCATTTATTGCTCCCATAAAGACGATAACTTGACACAATAGTAGCAAATGGAAACTTCCTATTATAACTTGGTGGGCTCATCAGTATTGGTGCAGTCATCCTCAGTCTGCAGCATTTTGGGAGTAGGTACTATAATGGGTAAATTGTTATGGATACCCCGCTCATGCCAACACATGTCCAAAATGGGATATAGCTTGCCTTGGAATTCTGCTTGGAAAGTATAGATTGGTATCAGCTCATCTGGACTGTCAGCGTTGTAGAAGGTTAGTTCTCCCTTCTCATAGTGCAGATAGACCCCAATTCGTTGGGGTCGGGCTGAAATTGGCAAAACCAGTCTGCTGGTATTGAAGGCCTCATATACTTTGCCCTCTTTTAAGCCAATGAGCCACACCCCATTTTCTGGACTCTTACTCAGTTTGCCTTTGCGGTTGATTGTTCCCTTGACGATGCCCAGGCGCCAGTGACTCTTGGAGCCCACAATAATCTCCCAGTAATGCTTTCCCCAGGAGAAGCCCTTATTAGCCAGGATACAGTTGCTGTAGTCAAAGCGCTCAGGATTGCTATCTCGCCGTTGGAAGAACTGGCCATATTTCACCATGGTATTCTCCTTGGACAGCTCGAGCATAGGGTGAGCACTCACTGGGTCCAGCTTCAGTGTTTCTGGAGCTATGAGAAAGGGGTAAAAATCAAAGTTCTTTGAGGAACCCTGGGTAATATTCAGAAAGATCAGGCCTCCTTTATATGGACAGAATAGAATAGGCCTCAATAGAATTATGAATGGGCCTCAATTTTTCATAATAGACAAGTGATTGCAGAACTCAGGAAACCTAGACAGCACTCTCAAAAAACCCATTGCCATTTGTTAGCTTTACAGTCTCAACCCCATTTCTCTTAATTCTGATATCTGAAAAGCAGTAATGCATGATGAAGAGACAGATTCACAAATTTTTTAAGTGCTGTATGTGGAAGTGGTCATGAAACAGCCTCTCTTCTTCATCTCCTCCAACAGCAGCCATACCTGGAAGGACTTTACGGAGCAGACGCTTCCATACCATCATCTTTACATCCTCTTGGTGGAAGTCAGGTTTGAAACAAACCGCACTGTACATGCCTTCAGCTGGGTGCTGATAGGGAAGCTCAGACCTGGATATGTATTAATTTCCATTAATATTTTTCCCAATCTCGAATACTTCATAAATCTTCTTTTAAAATATTCAATTCCTATCTTAATTGATGGGACTGAAAATTCTGAGCAAGAACTCAGAACATAAAAGCAATTACTTTATCCTTCCGCAGGAAGGTGTATATGTATGACAACGTTGTGGCAGAATATATTGAATAATTTTGAAGACAGAAAGCACATATCTCAAGAATCCCGTTTAGATCTGGGAAATATCTCTCCAGTCTTGAAGCCTAAAGATTACTTCATAAAATCACTCTGTCTGAAAGCCATATGCTCTGGAATTAAGGAGTTTGGGGCTGGAAATTAATAATATTAAGGCTTCTTCAAATTCTCATAATTTCAGAGCCATCAACTTTGCAGAAGTCTGCAATCCACTGCATATCTGTCTCATTAAATTTTGGTGAACATGGCAGAGCTTACTTTTGAGTAAATGCGCTTCAGCACATTGGAATTGCTGACACATGTCTCAGTCTTTGCTGAGAATGTGGAATATTGTACACATACTTTGCTTTTAAAAAAGCATGGATTCTGTTACCATGCTTCTTAATAAGAATTTTGAACAAGCTAACAAATGCATTTACTCAACTCTTCCTTTGACACTTTTTCTGTAAAGGCATTTTCTTTACAACTCATCTTAGAATGACAGTGTTTTGTTTCTCTTTTATACACTCTTATTTTACATACCTGGAGGGAAGAGATCCATATTTCTGTAAAGAGATAGATGTAGACAGATTTAGTGCACTTGTACTATTTAAATGTATACTGAAGACTGTGTGGAGGGGAGGAAGATGGGAGAAAATGAATGGGACTATTGAGTTCTCTGAGCAGTTGGAATCCATATTTACTCCTGTAAACCTTGGAATTCTTGCATACTTACTGTATACATTCCTTAACTGCAACAGAACTACAGGTCCTTATTTGCATGTACTCTTCAAAATCTAGGCTGTAAAGAAGCACCTAAAACTTTAATTACTATCTCGAATTATTCCTACTCTTAGATCAAGGGTGGATGGCCTTTTTTAATATCAGCTATAATTGATTGCTCTAACCATAATTGCAAAAGCGAACAGTAGAGTTCTCTGCCATTTTAAAGAAGGAAATATATGAAAATTTAAAATAGGTTTCATATAAAGTATAAAAAAGTAAACCCTCCAAATTCTTCCATCTGAGGAAAATGAGAAATCCTATCCTTAATCTGTGTGACCTGTGTGATGTACGCCTGCCTACTCTGCTCTGCTACTAGGGCTCTTGGCCCTTCATAGGTAGTCCTCGATTTACAACCACAATTGACCCCAAAATTTATGTTGCTAAGTGAGAAATTTGTTAAGTGGGTTTTGCCCCCATTTTATCACATTTCTTGTCACATTTGTTAAATGAATCACTACCGTTGTTAAGTTAGTAACACGGTTGTTAAATGAATCTGGCTTTCCCATTGACTTCGCTTGTCAGAAGGTTGCAAAAGGTGATCACATGACCCTGGGATACTACAACTGTCATAAATATGAGGCAGTTGCCCAGTGTCTGAATTTTGATCGTGTGACCACGGGGATGTTGCAATCGTAAGTATGAAAAATGGTGATAAGTTAATTTACAGTGCTGTTGTAACTTCAAACGGTCATTAAATGAACTCTTGTAAATTGAGAACTACCTGTACTGTAGTTCAATCATCCAAAGATTTAGTCTCCTAATAGGCGACACTATTCTTCCATATGTCTAGGCCTTTACGCTCCAACAAATTGCGAGACAATTTTGGATTCTTAATAGGTCTAAATGCTAATGCTAAACCTCTCTAGGTTCCTCAGATTCCAGTATGTCTCTTTCGGTCTGCTTCTTACTTCTGAGTAGGAGTCTTTAGCAATTTTGATTTTCTGCTGCTGGCAGCATATCTTAGCATGTCCCTGATTATTTACAGCAAGCAGATAAACAACCATACCTGTATGAAATCCAGCTGGTCTTCATTGTTGAATTTCTCCAGGGAGTTCTCCAGCTCCTTTAGCTTCTGAAGGATGTCTGCTCTCTGCCTCACCTGAACCTCAATAGAGGCAATGATACGGGTTGTTTTCCTTTCTATCTGCCCCAGGAATTTGGCCTTCTCTTCATCGATATATCTATGCAGATCCTGGAACTGCTTTCTGACTACCCACTTGAAGACATCAGATTCATTCTGTATGGGACAAAATATCACAAGTATCACCAGAACAGTGCAAGACTTAGTTTGAGTTGGGCCCATGTGGGGTTGGAGTGGGCATTATTATAATACTAAAATGTGAGAAATCTGATGACCATCTCAATGTAATATCTAATGCTGTCACCCACTTCTGCCTTGCAGTCTTAGCTCAGGAGTCAATTGTTTGCAGCTATCAGTTATGATAACTCTAATGGGCAGAAATATGACAAAATCTTTATGTCAGTCGTTCATGTCAAACTAGCTTGAGATATGTTGATCCTGAGATAAGTTAAATTTGCACGCTAAAGAATTTGGTACAGTTTTATTTCCCTCTTTTACATACCTGTTACATACCTGTCCAATATTCCTCCTCCCCTCAACAATTATTAATTGGATTATGGGACTAGTTTGGATTTGTAATTCCTTACAGCAGTGGTTCTCAACCTGTGGGTCGGGACCCCTTTGGGGGTTGAATGACCCTTTCACAAGGGTCACGTAAGACCATCGGAAAACACATATTTTCAATGGTCTTAGGAATAATTTTATGGTTGGGGGTCACCACAACGTGAGGAACTGTATTAAAGGGTCATGGCATTAGGAAGGTTGAGAACCACTGCCTTACAGCAGTGTTTCCCAAACTTGGGAACTTTAAGAAGTGTGGACTTTAACTCCCAGAATTCCCCATCCAGCATGGCTGGCTGTGGGATTTTGGGAGTTGAAGTCCATACATCTTGAAGTTCCCAAGTTTGGGAAACACTGCCTTACAGAAACAATTTGTGCTCCTTTTTCCACGCAGCCTAAACTGCTTAGCTTATGCTACAGAGTTTGCATTAAAAAGGGACACAAGGACTAATGAGCTAATCTTTTGGCCAGAAAAGTCTTGATGTGAACACAATCTAGTGTTTTCTTATTTCTGAATACTCTGTTATTGAGTCCAAATGTTGCAGTATAAACCATAATGTGGCTGGTTAATTTTTTGACCTAGCATATTTTGGAAACGCAACTATTATTTTTAACACATGATTTATGGGTTGGTGAATTATGCAAACAGTGATTTATTAAACGAACTATTATTAAATTAGTCACAGTTTGGTGTAATGTGTTTCCAGTCTATGAATCTGGAGTTGCCTGCCAAACTGAATTAATGATGAGTAACTGGTGACAGAAATGAATGAGAGAGATAGATTGCATGTACAGGTAGTCCTCAATTTCCAACTATAATGGAGCCTGCCCATTATATTCGTAAAGTGGGTCACCCATGTGGTTGAACCAATTTTACGAACTTTTTTGCAGTGATCAAATGCTGCAATTGTAAAATGAGTGTTGCAGTCACAAAGTGAATGCTATGGTAATAAATTGAACCCATTGTTTGCTATGGGCTGTTTTTGCCAAAAGCTAGTAAGGTTTGGGAGAAAAAACATTGTAAAATGTCATGTGACTGCAAGATGCTGCAAAGAGCCCTGGTAGCGCAGCAGACTAAAGCACTGTTATTAACATCAACTGCCTGTAATTACTGCAAGTTCAAATCTCACCAGGCTCAAGGTTGACTCAGCCTTCCATCCTTTCAAAGGTAGGTAAAACGACCCAGATTGTGGGGGCAATAAGTTGACTTTGTATAAATATATACAAAAGTATGAAGGCTATTGCTTAACGCATTGTAAGCCGCCCTGAGTCTCCAGAGAAGGGCGGCATATAAATCAAATTTTAAAAAAATGGCCATAAATGTGGGCTGCTTGCTGAGCACTTGGTCATGTGATGGGGGGAGGCAGCCATTGAAACTTTGGAACTAGGTTGTTCCAACTTTGGAGGGGGTCCGTTAAGGACTACCTGTATTAGAAGAATTCTCATTCATCAGTGAAAGGCAACACAATAGTGCATCTGACTATAAGCAAAAAAAAGAGACAGAAACCATTATTAAATACGGTAGTCACTTTCATAGAGGTGGGAACAAGAAACATGCAAAAACATTTGAGTATTGTTTCTAAATATAGTGTTTCTAAATATTGACTTCTTTACTTCAATACAGATTACTTATCAGAATTTCTTGGAATTATGTGAGGGCGCTTAATCATTTCCGAATATTACCTGTTGGATGAAATGTAATATGTAGCAACTTAGCTATTTTATTCTATAGAATTGCTTCTGGGATCCTCTCCACTGTCTGCTGTAAGTCAGATGGCTATTTCCAGGGAGTTTTTGTGACAAGTAAAGCGACTACCTGATTGGGCATTCTATTGTATGTCTATAGTGGTTGGTTGTGCACTTATTTAGAATTTTTCAGATGTGACCTAATGTCCTCTAGAGCCAGATTAGGATCTGAAAAGCACCTAACTACTGCCACTAATCCAACAAAATCAATATTGACAATAAATGTCAGGTGCTTTGAAAAAAATTCCAAGGGTGACTTTATTGTGAGCTAATTTCCTGGGAGGTATTTTCTTTTAAGTCTATCTAGAATTCTGTTGGCAAATATGCTGGTCAACTTACTAAACTAAATTTTTCCTTTTTCATCTGAAAGTTTTGGCTTTTCCTATTACTTAATTGGTTTGAAATTATTATAGTATATTAAGCATACCCTCTTGACTTGGCCTTCCTCAGAAAAAATAACAATTATATTTTGTTCTTTCGTGTAATTCAACATTCAGCCCTGAGATTTAGCAGAGTGTAGGAACTAAAGAAAAAAGACAATATGTATTGAATAATTTAGGGTCGTCCCCCCGGACGTGTTAGCAATAGGAGGATAATTTTCAGAATTTAGTAAAGTGCTGGATATACATAAGGGTAATTTCACCTTGATTTGTTTGGGGATTCAGGGTGTTTTGTGTCAAAAATCTAAAATGAGCAGTTAAGCAACAGTGTGGGATGGGGTTTTTGGTACCTTTGAATCAATCTTGACTCCTGGTGATTGTCTGAGCAAAGTCATGTGGCCAGCATGACTAAACGCTGAAGCAGCACGGAGCGCTGTTACCTTCCCACCAAAGTGGTCCCTATTTTTCTACTTGCATTTTTTACGTGCTTTCGAACTGCTAGGTTGGCAGAAACTGGGACAAGTAACGGGAGCTCACTCCTTTACATGGTGCTAGGGATTGCCGACCTTCTGATCAACAAGCTCAGCATTTTAGCCACTGAGCCACCCCTCCAAACACTCAAGAATATACAGCATACAATCACTAGAAAATTAAAATTAATTGTAAAATATTTCTAAAGATCCATATCTTCCCTTCAGTATGCTTATTTATTGTAATAATAATATTTATGATCCAGTTAGGCATGGTGGTTAAGGCATCAAATTAGAAACTGGGAGGCCATGAGTTCTAATCCTGCCTTGGGCACAAAGCCAGCTGAGTGACTTTGTACCATTCACTTTCTCTTAGCCCTAGGAAGAAAGGAATGGCAAGCCACTACTGAAAATCCTTGCCAAGAAAACTGCAAGGACTTGGCCAGATAGTTGTCCAGACCGATCTGGGAATCAGTTACAAATGTACAAAGAAAATAAACCTCATAATATTACCCACAGTGATGCATAAAAGTTGGATGAAAAGAAAGGTAGCCAAGAAAGTCACTGGCATAATGTGATCTTCCTGTCTAAGCTCACCGTGATGCGAGTTTTGTTATTCATCAATTTGCTGACATGTTCATCAAGGCTTCTTTTCTGCTGTTGCACATCTGTTATCAACATGGAGAGTTCCTCCTGAAAAAGCAAAATTGCATTAGCTAAACTTGTGGGGAAAGGATGTAAGAGAAAAAAACCCTAAATTTATCCATTTTAATGATGACCGCCAAATGCTTCTTAAAGCTCAAAATTACTTATTGTTATTTATTTGTTTATTTATTGTTATGATATTGTTTCCTGATTGCTTATTTTTACCCTGTGACTATCATTAAGTATTGTACCTTATGATTCTTGACGAATGTATCTTTTCTTTTATGTACACAGAGCATATGCACCAAGACAAATTCCTTGTGTGCCCAATCACACTTGGCCAATAAAAAATTCTATTCTATTCTATTCTATTCTATTCTATTCTATTCTATTCTATTCTATTCTATTCTATTCTATTCTATTCTATTCTATTCTATTCTATTCTATAAGGAGGGCCAAAAAAATGTGACTGCTCAATTACAGTAGCTATTAGGAGACATTCAGATTTGAAAAAGAGATCACATGAAGTAACCTTCCACTAAGATTTTGAATCGTCTATATTAATGACTATCATCAAATCCCCAGAGACTCACTCAGTCTAGGGTCATCAGATCCTTCAAACTGGATATGCAGGATTTGGGCTATATTTAATATTCAAATATGCACAACTAATCTTTCTACCATGAAACTATAGTGCCTTATTATAGAATATGAATTCTGCAAGGGAGTATTTAATCAGTGGCTCCTTTTTCATAGCTTACATTTAAAAGAAAGGAAGTTTTATCTCTTATCTCACTCAGTATCAGGCACTCATGGGCACTGGAAGTGCTGCACCTGGTTTTTAGATTTCTGTGAATCACCCTCATTGTAACAGTGTTATCCATTGTTTTCTATTGTTGCCCTTGATCGCAGGGTACTATCGTCCATGATCCTTACGCTTACATAATTCCCACCCTTTGAAAACATTACCCACACAAAGAGGGACTTAGGATATATGGCAGTGATGGCTAACCTTTTTGCCGTTGCGTGCCAAAAGCAGGGGGAGCACGGGGGGGTTGTATGCACGTGTGCCCATACCCATAATTCAATGCGCCCTGCCCCCCGCGCATGCACACGTGACCCCCTCCACATGACCCCCGCTTTTGGCAAGCGATGGCACGGTGGGCCTGGTAGGCCCGTTTTTCACCCTCCCCAGGCTCTAAGAAAGCTTCTGGAGGCCGGAAATGGCCCATTTGCCGACTTACGGTGGGCCCGGAAGGTCTGAAAATCAGATGTGCACGCCGGAGCTGAGCTAGGGCAATGCTTGCATGCCCACTGATATGGCTCCGCATGCCACCTGTGGCACACATGCCATAGGTTCGCCATCATGGATAAATGGTGTGAGGAGAGAGCTACAAAAATTCTGTTAAGAAAAGTATAGATTTCTGCCTCATAATAGCTACACCAATTTTTACTAGAATTCATGTGCTCCATTAATTTTACAAAGAACTTTCCTTAATTACTGGTATGTGGAAATTACTTTGTTTGGATCACACCAAGATTCACCAAATCCACTAATCAACACACAAATTGCCCACCCAAAATTGCCAATCATCTTGGTTCTGCCTGTGGCCTAAGCCCACACTTCATTCGTGCAGTCATACACATACATACACATTCCAAGCACCTGCCTTCATCCTGCTGTAGACAGTGGAGATGGGCATGACTTTATGCTGCTGATGGGTGCCAATGGTGCCACAGAGGCCACAAATCACTTCCTGGTCTTGCTCACAGAAAAGGCTGAGGGGATTGTGGTGGTCAGGGCAAGACTTTTGGTTATCTTGTGAGTTGCCTAGGGTATGAATGGCCTCAATGATGCGAGCCAAGTTGACATTGGGTGGTGATCTGCTATAGTCCACAGCCTTTCGGCATACTGGGCAAAGGATCTGCTTCTCCAGGTCACCTGAGAGAGATACTACACAGGACTTGCAGTAAGAGTGTCCACATTGTAGCATCAAGGGCTCTTTGAAGAAATCTAAGCAAATGGGGCATATCAACTGGTCCTCAAGTTGCTCAATGCTTAATTTCCGGGCCATTTGGCTGATTTACTTCTTCTTTCTTTGGCTTAATCCTGGAAGATGAATGCCCAGAAGGAACAGACACCAGATGTAGGATGCAGCTGAGGAGAAGATAAGAGTAGCTGTTCCTTCTTATCTCCTGCAATAGGCAATCAAAGAAAGGATAAAGAGATTAATACAATCTTAGGGCACAGGAAGAAAAAAGTACTCTAGAACATACACTGAGGAATGTAATAATAAACTAAGTTTAAGGAATTTTGAGAACTTCTGGATGTCAAAGGTTTTGGGAGGAAGAAAGCTGAAAGCGTAATGTTCAGGTAACTGTTAAGTAGCACTTATAGCTGCCAGCTGCCTGCAATTACTGCAAGTTCAAATCTCACCAGGCTCAAAGTTGACTCAGCCTTCTATCCTTCCGAGGTAGGTAAAATGAGGACCCGGATTGTGGGGGCAATAAGCTGATTTTGTATAAAAAAGAACACTGCTTAGGGGGGCCCAAAAGCCCTCCTAAGCAGGTATATACAGAAGTATGAAGGCTATTGCTTAACGCATTGTAAGCCGCCCTGAGTCTCCAGAGAAGGGTGGCATATAAATCGAACCAATAAATAAATAAATAAATAAACTGCTATTCCATAGCTATTAAGAGGAACAAAACAACTTCTGCCCTCCTTTGCTACTTTATTTTGGAAACATCAAAAGAATTATTTTGGGGGCTCATCGGCTACTGCTAGTTGCCAAAGAGTAATGCCTAAGTATTCTGAGAAATTCTGCTATAGGTTTGATAAAATACAGGTAGTCCTCAACTTACGACCACAACGGAGCCCAACATTTCTGTTGTTAAGTGAATTTGTCCCATTTTACGACTTTTCTTGCCACCTTTGTTAAGCAAATCACTGCAGTTGTTAAATTAGTAACATGATTGTGAAGTGAATCTGGGTTCTCCATTGACTTTGCTTGCCAGAAGGTTGCAAAATGATACTTGAACACTGCAACCGTCATAAATATGAGCCAGTTGTCAAGCATCTGAATGTAAATGACATGACCATTGGGATGTTGCAATGGTCATAAGTGTGAAAAATGGTCATAAGTCACTATTTTCGGTGCCATTGTAACTAAATGAACTGTTTTAAGTCGAGGACTACCATATGTTTTGCTTTTATTGTTGATAAATGTATGATTTATTTAGGACATTTAAATTGCAGCCAAAAATATAAATGATCTGGGAGAATAAATGTCCAGAAGGGAATATTGGAGAGGAATTAGGTTCTTTTGCATAACAGATTACTAGAAGGAGATAATGTTTTAAATGTTGTACATTTTGTTGATGACCAAATTCAGTTCTGTGAATCATGCATGTGTCCTTTGCACCAAACCACAGACATATTTGGAAGCTGTTTGAATTACATTTGTAAGTGCTGGGCAAAACTAAAACCATCCCTCTCAACCCGTGGAAAAATTGTCTTCCATGAAACCTGTCACTGGTGCCAAAAAGATTGCGAATGGCTTTTTTGTTGTACCATGAGGAGTGGAAGTTGAAGAAGGTACCTTCCAAGGGGTTCTGATATGACAAAAAAACAAAACCCAACACTCACATAGACCAGATCTGCTCATAATCTTTCTATCAAGGTATCCCACCATTTCTATTTATATTAACTCTTGAATGCTCAGAGCACATGACCCAAAACATATGCTTTGTTATATGCATCATAATTCCTAGGGCAGGCAAGTCTCACTGCCTCTTTATGTCGTACAAACTGAAGACCAATATCCAAGGATATCTAACTTTTGATAATAGTTCAGGTCAGTGGTCGGAATCTATTACCGGTAGAAAGTTTTTGCTGAAATTTCAGTGGAATTCTAGGAGGAACATCCATTCATAAATCACATCTTTCTTAATTTCCATATTTTCTAAATCCATTAGAGTAAGTAGTCAAAGAAAATATTCTTACCTTTTACAGTTCAACTGCTCTTCTCCTTTTAGTTTTCTGCCACCTCCCTTCTCCTGTAATCAGAATATTTCTAGACAAAACACTGTACATTACATTAAAACTTCCCGTTGGATATTTTTTTTACTATGGCAGATTTTGGACTTCACCACCAAAAGTGAGAAGAAAAGCGTCTCTGCCTTTACTTCTTTCAAAAAGAGAGTTTCTAGAGTTGATGGCCCTCTGTTCAGGGAAAGCTCTCCAGAAAGCAAACTGGAGTAACAGCCACCTTTTCAGTCATGTGCTAATCCTTGGCACTTGTAGAGGCAACTCCCAGCTACATCGCTGACTGACCAATGTATTCTTGGAAAATTGGAGATAAAAAAACCACACACAAGTCTTTTCCTTGAATGTTCACCTTGTAGAACAGATTTCCTTGTCCTCTTCACCATAATATATGTAGATATTCATACGCCCTTTCTTAGTCATCATACTTCTGAAGGTTGACACTGAAAAGCCACACTAATGAAAGACTTTAACTTTCTTTAGATTTACATTTACAATATGTTCATTCATTAAGATCCCCTCTCCCTCACAAAAAGGGTTGATATTATAAATCCTGCATATCTAGGACCTGCCTTTTGGCTTCATAGAAATGCTTTTATATCCTTAAATAAGACTTTAATCATATAGGAGCTCTTGATGCTCTATACCAGCCTTCCCTGACATGGTGTATTAGCCTGAGTTTGTCATTGCTGAACATTTGGGAGTTGGCCCATTTATATGATTGGAGATGGCTACTGTATGCATATGTTCTGTCCAAGAGGCCAATCCCAATTACACTGAATGACTTCTTCCTTTCCTTTGTATGCTTTCAGCAGTCTTTGTGACTTTGAGGCAAACCAAGGAATGGGAACCCTTGCTATTGGATTGACAGTAGCAGAGGCATTTCTGACTATACTACAGAAACTGGTAGGCTGGGCATAGTGCTGCCAACTTGCATGTTCAGTCAGTGTCAGGAATATATGCAAGAGGAATTTTGATTCCAAGTGTTTACAGGGGCACTTAGCTTATATCATGGGCAAAACTCCTTTGGTAGTTGGCACACTTTTCAATCCTAATACATGATGCAGGAGCATCCATAGGATGGGTCAAGAAAATCAAGATGACAGTTTGATATGGAATGTAACTCTTAAAGATAAAGGTAAAGGTTCCCCTTGCACATATGTGCTAGTCGTTCCCGACTCTAGGGGGTGGTGCTCATCTCCGTTTCAAAGCCGAAGAGCCAGCGCTGTCCGAAGACGTCTCCGTGGTCATGTGGCCGGCATGACTAAATGGCAAAGGCACACAGAATGCTGTTATCTTCCCACCAAAGGTGGTCCCTATTTTTCCACTTGCATTTTTTACGTGCTTTTGAACTGCTAGGTTGGCGGAAGCTGGGACAAGTAATGGGAGTCATGTAGCTCTTACTAATTATTAATTTTGTTCAATTATTATTAGCTTGATGGTTCTTTGTTAATTATTAAATGATTTTAACAATGGCTTTAAAATGCTAAATTGATATGTCATTATGCTAGTCTGTGACAGTAATAAAGATTTGATTGATTTGGTATAAATAAATTCATCTTCATATTCAGTGCTAATCTAATATAATTGGAATTTTTAAATTCATGTATACTGTTGGTATATCTCTTTTCCATTTTTTGGTTGCTCTTCTATTTCTGTTTCTGCTCCTTTTTTATTGTGTTTTCAAATATCTATTAAAATGAAATTAAATATAAGACGTAAAAAGTCAAATTGGTAGTCACCATCACACAATGGATCCACACATACCTAGTATATGTGCATCATATAGAACCAACATCAAAAAAGAGCAGGGCTTCAATAATGGCCACCACCTTGAATTTTTCTGACCCTTCCCTCCATAGATGCCCCTTCAGGTTGGTTTTACTTATTATTTTAACTGGTTGTGTGTGCTAATCCAGCAGAGATAAATTTTATTTATATGCCATTAAATCAAAATCAATTGTTGATTTGATGGCATTATGTGCTTGTCACAATGATTTAGCTATATTGCAGCCTTAATATTCTTTGCATTTTTAACTTTATGTTGAATCTTCTTCCTAGCTTTATTCCCGTGCTATGGCAGGGTCCGTTTATCAGTAAAGCTGTCTCCATTTGCATTGATCTAGGGCAGGGGTATCAAACTCGATTTCATTGAGGGCCACATCAAGATTGTGTTTGACCTTGGGGGCCCTGGGTGGGCATGGCTGGAGTAGGCATGGCCAGTTCAATGCCATTCCTGTCAAGTGGTGCCTGCGATGGCCCGAGCGCTCTGCCAGCAAAAGCAGGCTCCCGAACTCCGTTTTTGGCTGCCATGGCCTCCTGCAACCCTCTGCCAGTGAAAACAGTGCTCGGGAGGGCCACCTGGTTCTTCACTGTTTCTAGGGCAGCCCTATGGGCCAGATCCGGCCCCCGGGCCTTGAGTTTGACACCCCTGATCTAGGGTGTCTTCAGGGGCAACACTCATGTATTTCATGCCCTTTATTTTGAACATATGAGGGAAAAGAACAGATCAAAATGGAGGCATAGTATTACCAATCTATCTGGAACAAGGAAATCTTCAGGTGTTCATTTCAAATTTTACAAAGCTGCTGAGTCTGTGAGTCCTCTTTAGGGAAAAAGATGCTACTAGCAGCAGCGGCTCATGCTGCTCGATGTTTAAAGTATCTTCTTTGCCCCATTTTTATTCTGCTCTGTTCTGATTTTTTTAAAAAAAACCAAATACCAACCATGGGAAACAGAAGGGCTATTTGATGCAACATGTTTACCTTGGTTGTTGAATCAACCAATTTACTGGTTTGAACTGTAAACCAACAGATTAAACCATGACAAACCCTTAATCAAGGTGGTCACTAATCAACCTTAGTATATTGTGAAAATAAGGCACTATGTATTTAACTAACCTGTTTGAGTGTGTTGTCTGAATAGCCACTGCATGTCAAAAAATCAGAACAGAACGTTAAAGATAATAGATTATAGCTCTCCCTCCCCATAGTATAGTCAACTTATATCTCTACCACTATTAAAGATGACATATGTAATTTGTATTTAAACCTGGCCTATTTTCTCACACAACTTTGTATGCAAGAGGGAGGAACTAGTCAGTTTTTCAGGCAATTTTCTTGTCTGAAGGTGGATTTGGACCTGATCACTCACCCCACAGCCTCCACTCTGACTCCCACTCCTGCTCCATCATCCTGGCTCTGGGGTAAGGCAGAGTAACAATATTGTCTGAACATATCCTCCCATTATAAGTTGTGAATTCAGTCAAGGTATTGCAGCCCAGCACTCTTGATATTTCGATAAATACTTGTATTTCTCGGTTGAAATGAGGGGTCCTTGGTTCTCTCTGATCTTGGTTGTTTTCTTACAGACGTTTCATTCCCCAAACTAGGTAACATCTTCAGTGATGTTTATGGCTGCATTATTCCCACTGAGGGGGACCAGGTCTGAGTTGCAAATATCCGATGGCCACTAGATGGGAATCAAGGCATAGAAAAGAGAACACGCTAAGTCAGGGGTGGGCAACTGTGGCCCTTTTACAACCGGTGGACTTCAGCTCCCAGAATTCCTGAGACAGCTTGGCTGTCTCAGGGATTCTGGGAGTTGAAGTCCACCGGTTGTAAAAGGGCCACAGTTGCCCACCCCTGCGCTAAGTCCTTAGTGCCATCTACGGGCTTGATTCTTGTAACCAGTTCTGATAGCCTTACATCGGGGGTTTCCAAACTTGGCAGCTTACCCTTATTTTTTTTTACGTACTACGTAAAAAACTACAGTAGTATAGCTCTACGAAAACCTCCCCTTGCTTTGCGCACGCGCAGTTCATTTCCTTGCTGAACGCGTGCGCGCCGGAGGCTGCCAGAGTCCTGATCCAAAGAACCCGAGCACGATGCGGCAGCGCAGGCAGGGAAGCGGCGCGGCGTTTGGTCTCTATGGTGTCGCTGCTTCTATCCTGGCAAAACTGGAGCGTCGCGAAGGTTCCCTTAAGACTCTCGTCTATGGCAGTCACTTCCCGGCAAGTTGACGGTCTTTGCACAACTTAAGAGTTAAAAAAATAATTGGGGTGGAGGGGAGAATAGAACCTCCACGTGTGAGGACAGGCTATCTTTTTTTATTGCTAGCTACAGACACCGCGGGACGCCAGTTACCTTCGTGTGTGCCTGTGTTTTAGAATAGAATAACAGAGTTGGAAGGGACCCTGGAGGTCTTCTAGTCCAACCCCCTGCTTAGGCAGGAAACCTTACACCACTTCAGACAAATGGTTATCTAATCTCTTCTTAAAAACTTCCAGTGTTGGAGCATTCACAGCCTCTGGAGGCGAGTTGTTCCACTGATTAATTGTTCTAACTGTCAGGAATTTTTTTTTGTAGGAAGTTTTTTTTTTTTGAAAGGAGTTCAATGAATATTTTGGGTGTAATTTAAAAACAATTTTTTTAAATGCTCAAAACGAGGAGAGAGGATACCAAAACGCGTTGGATATACAGTAATATGCTTATCGTAGATTAACAATGTCCTCGAATTGAACTCGGCACTTGGTAATGTTATGCAGTTTCTTGGCACAGTACAGATGGTAGTTTGCGCTGAACTCTTCCAGGATATTTTCAACTTCTCTGCATCATCTACAAACCTGGAATTCCTTGGTAGTCTCCCATCCCAGATGTAAACCACTCCAGCCTTGTTTAATCTTAGTATAGAAAAGATCAGATCCTGTTGTGTTTTGACAAACAACACATTTGCCATACCCTAGTTAACTCAACCATAGTTTATGGAATTAATCCGTTTTCCTAAATTTGCACAATACTCTGAATAAAATATTTACTACGCATAGTACTTGCAGGCTGAAGTACGGTAGCTTCTTTTTGATTAAAAACATTGCACAAATTGAGCTCTTGTTTTAAAAGAAATCTGCATCCATAATTTCATGTGATGAAATATATGCCAGTTAATAGGCACTCTGAAGAGCCAGATAGATTATCCAATCTGGCCTTCCTGGGTCTTCTAATTGTGTACACATCAGTACTATAATTGAGTCCATAATTTGTATCTAATAGGCTGCTGCTTCTCAGAAAAGGCTTAGCATAATGTGTCCAAAATATAATTTGAGCCTGGTTATTGTACCTCAGGTGAGAATTCTGGGTTGATTTGTTCAATGATGCTTTGATTTTGTTTTTCCTGGCTATCCATGGTATTATCCAGAATTTTGTCCAGCACCAACATTCGAAAGTGTCAATACTCTTTCTGTCCTGTTTTTTCAAAGTCCAACTTTCACTTGCACATTCTGATCTTTCTAGATTTTGACAAATCACAGCACCTGAATATCTTTTTAAGGTCTTCATGGCTGCTG